TAGCTAAAAACAGAACTACCAAGATTAGTATCACTCACACTTGAGCAAAATTCCTTATATACAAAAGTACTCATTACAGCACTGTTTGTAGAACACAGTTTTGGGAATACAATCATCAGTAAGTAAACATTTGGTTCCACAAAGCAGTCTTTTAAAAAAGGAGTTACCTGGGGCCAACGCTGTGGCATAGCCAGTAAAGCCACCGTCTGCAGTGCTGGCATCCCATATGGGCGCTGGTTTGTGTCCCAGCTGCTCCACTTCCAATCCAGCTCTCTGCTACGGCTTGGGAAAGCAGTAGAAGATGGCCCAAGTCACTGGGCCCCTGCACCTGCGTGGGAGACCCAGAAGAAGCTCCTGGCTCCTGGCTTCAGATCGGCGCAGCTCCAGCCATTGCGGCCAACTGGGAAGTGAACCAGTGGATGCAAGACCTGTGTGTGTGTGTGTGTGTGTGTGTGTAACTCTTTCAAATAAATAAATATGTTTTTTTTAAAAAATAAGTTGCCTGAAAGATACATTGGTGGTTGCAGTGGAAGGGACAAAAGCATTTGTGGGAGCCGGCGCTGTCGCACAGCGGGTTAACGCCCTGGCCTGAAGCGCCGGCATCCCATACGGGCACCAGTTCGAGACCTGGCTGCTCCACTTCCAATCCAGCTCTATGCTACGTCCTAGAAATGCAGCAGAAGATGGCCCAAGTCCTTGGGCCCCTGCACCCATGTGGGAGACCCGGAAGAAGCTCCTGGCTCTGGATCGGCGCAGCTCTGGCCGTTGCAGCCAATTGGGGAGTGAACCATCAGATGGAAGACACCTCTCTCACTCTCTCTGCCTCTCCCTTCTCTGTGTAACTCTGACTTTCAAGTAAATAAATAAATCTAAAAAAAAAAAAAAAGTATTTGCATGAAGGGAGAGTACTGTGGTGCAGTAGATTACGCCTCCACCTGCGGTGCCAGCATCCCATATGGGCACCGGTTTGAGTACCTGCTGCTCTGCTTCCAATCTGGCTTCCTGCTAATGGCTTGGGAAAGCAGTGCCTGGGCCCCTGCACACATGTGTGAGACCTGGAGGAAACTCCTGGTTTCTTATCAGCCTAGCTCCAGCCTTTGCAGCCACCTGGGGAGTGAACCAGCAGATGGAAGATCCGTCTCTCTGTAACTCTGCATGAGATAAACGGAAGAAGCCAAACTTACAGAAGCAACAAGTTGTTCTGGTCATTCTGGAAGGATACACAATAGTGGTTGTGCAAGGATAAGAACTGAGCTGAAGAACTGATGTGGAATCAGTTTCAACTGTGCTGTTTGTTCTAGTCAACACAAAAGATTGCAGTGCTTTGACTTTAAATTTATAAATAGAGACCAACTTTTAGCTCAGATACTGGTTCAGATAGAATCTACTAAACAGTAACAATGTCAAATTAGGACATAAAATAACTCTCTTAAAATGTTTTTCTAAAGAGATTAAGGCTCCTTCATAGACAATAGGTCAGTGCTTACTATGTACCAGGGATTATTCCAGCATTAAAGAGCCATGCCTAGGTAGCCCAAGGGTTCCTGTCTTCATGGAGCTTTACGGCACAATAACTGAGCAGTTCTGCATGCTGTAAGACAGAAGATATTGGGAGAAAAGAAACTGGGGGAAGAGAATGGAAACTGATTTATACAGGACAGTTAAGGCAGAACTCTCTGAGGATATGACACATGAACTAAGAACTGAAGAATGCAACAAAGGAAGCAATGCAACAAGAGGAAAGCCCTAGAACTGGAGTAAGCTTGGCCACTTATTGTTCAGAGTACAAATCAACAGTGTAGTTACAGTCCAGGGACCCAGGGAGAAAAGTGCAAATGACAGAGGTAGGCAAATTCCAGATGTATGTAGGGCCTGGTAGCTAGGAGGCAAAAAGTAAAGTCTGTATTGTTAAATATGAGGAGAAACTCTGTAGTTTTTAGCAAGGGAGTAAAATGATCTAGATTTTTAAAAGGTTACACTAACTTCTGTTTAGAAATAAGCTAGTACAGCAGGCCAGGCAACAAATGATGGAACTGAACAGAGGTTTGTGAGAAATGAGGAAACAGGTCTCATTTAGGATGTCTTTTGGAAAGTAGAGCCCATGGAATTTGCTACTGAATTGAGTATCAGATTTGAGTAAGACAGCAACTGGATGAATAATAATTTTAAAAATTCATCTTTTATTTGTATAGTCATTTATAGTTGTGAAGGTTACTTGTACATGGGGAAGGTCACACTAGTCAAGATCCCAGTTCCATCTCTCATTTAGGAAAGTCATTTAAATTGGTGTCCAGGCTGTACAACATACTGATTCGTTCGCAAATATCAAATGGTTGAACAGGCAAATGTAAATAATGGCCCTTATGAGGAAATAACATCATATTTGTTCAACTCAAATATTTTTATATTTTCATTAGAACAGTAACACTGATATGATAATCAGCACTACTTTTTAGGCTTTGAAAGTCAAAGGTCACCAAGAGATAAATTAACAATTAAGCAACAAAAAGTATGTCACTAACACAACAGAACAGTACAGCTATCCCCATCTACCACTATATGGCATATGGAACCTTGCTTGTATGGTAGGTGACAGCCAAAAGCTAATGTTAAAAAATAAGTTCTGATATTTTAAAAATAATCATGTTCAGGAGACTGGCGATGCCGGCACCCCATATGAGCTCCGGTTTGTGGCCTGCCTGCTCCACTTCCGATCCAGTCCCCTGTTAACGTCCTGGGAAAAACAGTGGAAGAAGCCCCAAGTGTATAGGCCCCTGCCACCCAAGTGGGAGACCTGGATGAAACTGGTGGCTCCTGGCTTTGGTCTGAGTGAACCTGTGGATGGAAGATCTCTTCATCTGTTTCTCCCTCCAACTCTTTCAAATAAATAAATAAATAAATCTTTTATAAAAATAATAATAATTTTCACAGATTATAAAAAGCAACCTACATAATAAAAGCACACACAATGCATAAAACCCACATAATACATGATTAAAAAATAATCTTCTAATCCTTTGTAGGAATTAGAGAAAACAGTCCTTCAAAGCTAGAAATAACATTAAACTAAAACCACCTAATTTTAACTAGACAAAAATCCAAATCAAGGTCCCATTCACTAAATAGATGTTATCAACAAGATATTGTAAAACAATTATATATTACAGCAGGAATTATTACTGTCTTAAACAGTAATAATTGTGTGCCAAATGAGTTATTCATGGAGACTTCAATTTACTGTCTTCAACCTTGTAAATTTATAAACAAGGTGCCACAATTTGTTTCTCCACCCAAGACTTTGATATGACTGAAGAACACTTTCAGAAGCAAGCAAAAGGGGGGAAAATACACAAGCTAACTGTTTAGCATACTATTTTAGAGAATTATCTTTAGTGTCAATTTGTTATGTACTGAGTCCATAAAGTGAGTTACAGCAAATAAAATATATCTGGTGTACAACTCTCACTTTTCAGGTGAGGTCTAGATAAACATGAGGACTGTGTGACTGCATTATAACTAACCATACTGCAAGGATCTTCCAAAGCACATGACAACTAAAGCCGGTAAGACGGTTCGAGACAAATCGATCATAAAACAAATTCCCACTACGAAGGTTCATGTTACTAGACTGCAGCGCTGACAATTTCTTCTACTTCCCGCATTTCTAGTAATTTCTACCTTATGAAACCTCTTATTTCTCTAACTCAAGCACCGTCAGGTCGGTGATAACCCCATCGCGGATATATTTTATTGTAACTGCACGAAGCACTTCACAATACATCATCCTTCAAATCCTAATAGGTCTTCCACTTAGTCGCATCTCCCTTAGAACTTAGAAGAACCAACGAGATTAAATACTCGTTCACTAGGTTCATCAACCAAAATGATGCTGCATTCAGTACCCTTAGCTGGCATATTGAGCTATGCAGATGTTCAACTAACTTCCTTCTTTCTCTCTCTCTCTCTCTCTCTCTCACACACACACACACACACACACACTGACTGAAAAGATTAAGATTTAGTTTTCATGAATTACAAGAAACCTCTCATGTCAGAGGATTGGACGATATTATGAAAAGACCTTACAAAGATGTCGAATTCGCCATGATTCCATCTCTACTTGTCAAAGTACAACACTCACAAAGAGCCCAAGAATGGTTTAATAACTAGAGCGCACAAAATCGAGAGGCTCTGAAAAGATTTCACCGGATTCCTCCTAACTGCGGGCCTCCCCCTAGCCTTCGGTGCAACTACTTCCTCGCAACAGAAACAGCCTCTGGAAGAGTTTGCCAACCAGAGTAAAATCACTTCGCGGAGATAACGAGCGGAAACGTGTGCAGAGCTGAGCCGCTCGCGGAAGCCAGGGCGGCGGGGCGCGGAGCCCCCACGCCCGCGGACCGCAGCGGCCAACGGGGAGCATGTGCCGACCGCTGCAGGACTCGCGGCCCTCGAGGAGCCGCCTCCCGGGGCGCAGCGCCCCGCCCGGTCTCACCCTCCCCGGTTCATTCATTCTGCACCCGGGGCTGCCGCACCCCCGGCGCTCCTGCCCGGGCGGAAAGCGGGTTCCGGGACCGAGGGGCAGTGTTGGGTCACAGCCCCCGCCCAGGGTCCGGGCCACGCCGCGCCCGCGGCCTTCGCCCGAGGGTGGTCGATCTATGAGCCTGCGAGGCCCGCGCCCAAGACCAGAAGCCCCGCAGCCCCGCAGCCTCGCCGGCCCTCCCTGCGCCGGGGCGCGGGTGAGGCCTCCTCCGCCCGCTGGGCGTCAGCTAGGAAGCCTCAAGTCCCAGCCGCCCGGCTGCCCCGCCGCGGCCGGAAGTCGCCCCAGCGCCCCCTCCCCAGAGCCCGACTTCCCTCGCCGCGGCGGCCAGACCCTCTCCGCACTGCCCCGGGCCTCCTTCTCAGCGCGGGCGGCGGGCCGCAAGAAGCAAAGGATGACGCTGCCCACCCCGCCGGGCGGACCAGAGCAAGGTGAGGAACCGGAGGCTCGCCTGGGCGGTTACCTTGATGATCCTGCGGGGCAGCCCGGCCATCTTGTCAGATCCCGAGTTCGGCCTCTAGTCTCGTCTCCGGCTCCGCTCGCCTCACGCACGAGTGGAAGTCCCGGGCTCCACTTCCGGGGGACGTTGCCGCGCCCGCCGCCGCTGCTGCCGCCGCCGCCGCCGCCGCCGCCGAGGCCCCTCGGGAAATGTAGTCCCTGCTCGGGCGCGGGCGGGCTTCCCTCAGCACTGGCCCCCTCCCCCGCGCTCCCCGCCCCAACCCCGGCCGGGGGTGGCGGAAGTGACGCTCCTCGGCGGGGCAGGGACTTGGGGGAGGCGGCGCGGGCGGCGCGGAGCTGCAGCGCTCGTGGCCGAGCCTGCCGCGTGATAGTGGGACCCGGTGGCCCGGGCCGGCAGCCCCTTATCCACGGCCACGCCCGCGCGGGTGGGCGACGTAACAGAAGCCCGGCCTCTGACGTAGCCCATTCATTGCTTGGTTGCTCCATTCAGTGTGCCGGCGTCGGGCGCTGGCGGGAACTAGTGTTAGACGGCCCGATGCGCCTGCTGCTCCCTCGGGAGATCGCAGGACCGCGAGTCGTTTGCAGAGCTTCTGACTTTGGGTGTCACTAGTTATCCAGACCCTGGCAAAGGAACTTTGACGTTTAAATTTCGCCTAAGCTGGGCCTCTTTGACCCACCCGTTAAGCCCCTTGGGTAGTCTAAATTTAGGAAAGACTTGGAGCGAGTTCCGGGCCTCGAAGAATGATTTCCGAACGCCTGGCCCTGGCGCCTGAGAGGCAGAGTTGCCAGCTTGGACCAATGACCAAGGAGAGGATTGGAGAACCCAGGAGAAAGTGGAGTGGTTTGTCCCTAGGCAGGTCTACCAAGCCGTGTGCCCTTAGCTACTTAACCGCAGGGTTTCCCAGCACCCTAACACAGTAGTAGTGTGTGAATGAATCACGTGCCAAGTGCTGTGTTAGGAAATGTGAATCCCAAGATAAACAAGCTGACCATGGGTTCCAGTGGAGGCGACACGTAAACAATTAGAATCCAGTGTGTTAAGGGTTTTAATGGCGACCCCGCCAATGTGCAATCTGAGTACAAAGAGGCATTAACTGAGAACTCAGGGAAGGCTTCTTTAAAAAAGAGAGAGAGAGGTTTATTTGAAAGGCAGAGGGGCAGATCTTCCATCCATTGGTTCACTCCTCAAATGGCTACAACAGCCCGGTATGACCTAGGTGGAAGTCAGGAGCCAGGAGCTTCATCCTTGGCTCCCACATGAGTGGCGTGACCTAAGCACTTGGGCCGTCATGCACTGCCTTCCCATGTGCGTTAGCAGGAAGCTGGATCAGAAACAACAGCTTGTACTCTTGTACACAGCGCAGGCCACAAGGAAGGCTTCGTAAGGAAGTGGAGTCCTAAATCAAGGATAAGAACCAAACAGACGTGCAGACCATGATGGAAGAGCTTGGCAAACATAGGAAATAGGCAGTGAAGTGGTACTGAGCTATGAGAGGAACAAGACATGTGTTAAAGAAACTGGGAATATGAATGCAGGGAACCAGTGAGGAACATTTAGGGCTGGGCACAATGCTAAATGAGTACATAGATTAGTTCATTTCATTATAAACCAAAGGAGGTACACTTGGTTATTCCCAGTAACTTTTAGATGAAAACCACAATAATGAGAATTTCAAATACTCAGAAGTTTGAAATGCTGGTTCTGTGACCAGAAGAGTCTGGGAAGGCAAAGATACTTTCAGAATAGTTCAGAGAGGCCCCAGGAGAATTCACCCTGGTATAAAGAAAGGCAGAGTGACCATGGTATTGGAAATGTGCAGATTGGGCAGGGTTTAGCAGATTGTGCAATTTGGGCAGGGCTTAGCAAGAAAGGCACGTCTCTGCTCTGAGCTGCAATGGCCCAGGAAGCTTTACTGGGGCCAGAAGATGCCCTTCCAAGGTAGCTAATGAGGATGGCAAGTTGGTGCTGGCTGTTGGTTCCTCTCAAAGTGCACCTCTCCCTGAGGCACCTTGGGTTCCCCACTGCTTGGTGGCTAGATTCCAAGAGGGAGTGTGCTAGTAAGCAGAGGGGAAGCTGAACTGCCTTTTTTGACCTACCTGTAGTCACACAGCATTACAGTCACCATGATGTATGGGTCAACCAACCACAAAAGCCAGCCCAATTTCAAGGGGAGGGAACATAGAATCTGTTCCTTGAAAGGAGAGTGGCAGGATTTAGGAGACTAGCAAACTATGCATGTTGGAAAGTATGCTGTGGCCAACTTTGGAAAACAAACTGCCATGGGTATGCAATTCGTCAGACATGATCACCAACCACCTGCCTTAGAATCATCTGTGGTGCTGGTTAAAAATAAGCACTCCTGAAGATTGAATTCTCTAGAAAAGTACAGAGAACTGGGACTCTATTTAAGTATGGGTAATTTTGATGGATCTTAACTTTTTTTAAAAAGTTTTTGGGGCCAGTGCTGTGGCAGAGCAGGTAAAACTGCTGACTGCAGTGCCAGTATCCACCTGGGTACTGGTTTGAAACCCGGCTACTCTACTTCTGATCCAGCTCTCTGCTATGGCCTGGGAAAGCAGAAGAAGATGGCCCAAGTCCTTGGGCACCTGTACCCACATGGGAGACCACATGGGAAGAAGCTCTGGCTCCTGGCTTCAGATTGGTGCAGATCTGGCCAATGCAGCCAACTGGGGAGTGAACCAGCGAACAGAAGACCTCTCTCTTTCTCTGCCTCGCCTTCTCTTTGTGTGTAATTCTAACTTTCAAATAAATATTTAAAAAAAGTTTTAAAGATTTACTGATTTATTTGAGAGTTACAGACACACAGGGAGACACAGAGAGATATCTGGTTCACTACCCAGATGGCCAAAACAGCCAGAGCTGAGCCAGGCTGGATACAGGAGCTTCATCCAGGTCTCCTATGTAGGTGGCAGGGCCCCAGGTACTCTGACCATCTTCTGCTGCTCTTCCAGGACATTAGCAGGGAGCTAGATCAGAAGTGGAACCCTGGGACATGAACTGGCACCCATATGGGATGGTAGTGTTGCGGGTGGCAGCTTTACCTGCAATACCAGAATTCCGGTCCTGGATGTTAACATTTGGGGCCAGCACTGTAGTGAAGTAGGTTAGCCTTTCTCCTGTAGCACTAGCATCCCATATGGTGCTGGTTTGTGCCCATATGGGCACCAATTCATGTCCCAGCTGCTCTACTTCCTATCTAGCTTTCTGCTAATGGTCTGGGAAAGCAATAAAGGGCTGCCCAGGTGCTTGGGCCCCAGCACCCATGTGGGAGACCTGAAAGAAGCTCCTGGCTCCTGTCTTTGAATCGGCCTAGCTCCAACCGTTGACAGCCATTTGGGGAGTGAACCAGTAGATGGAACCAGTGAACCAGTAGATCTCTCTCTCTCTCTCCCTCCCTCTCCCTCTCCCTCTCCCTCTCCCTCTCCCTATCTGTAACTGCAAAAAGATTTTATAAAAAAAAAAAGAAAAACTAATCAAATTGATCCCTTCAAAGGAGGGCTTTTGGGCTGCTGGATAAATGAGGTAAAACAGAAGCTTCATACTCTTAACTTTTGAACGTTGAACCATGTGAAGGTGTTACTCTTTCAAGATGTAAAATATGGGGCCGGCATTGTGGTACAGTTAAGTCATTGACGGCAATGCCAGCATCCCATGTAGGCCTTGGTTCAAATCCTAGCTGTTCCACTTCCAATCTGGCTCTCTGCACCTGGGATAGCAATAGATGGTAGCTTGGGTCTGTACCACCCACATGGGAAACCTGGATGGAGTCCCAGTCTCCTGGCTTCAGCCTGGCACGGTTGTGGCCTTTGAAGCCATCTGGGAAGTGAACCAGTTAATGGAAGATTGTGTGTGTGTGTGTGTGTGTGTGTATGTGTGTGTTTTTTTCCTTCTCAAACTCTGCTTTTCAAATAAATGAAAAGTTTTTTTTTAAATAAAAGTAAAGGGGACAGCGCTGTGGCACAGCGAGTTAACGCCCTGGCCTGAAGCACCGGCATTCCATATGGGCACAGGTTCGAGACCTGGCTTCTCCTCTTCCAATCCAGCTCTCTGCTATGGCCTGGGAAAGCAGGAGAAGATGGCCCAAGTCCTTGGGCCCCTGCACCCACGTGGGAGACCTGGAAGAAGCTCCTGGCTCCTGGCTTCAGATAGGCATAGCTCTGGCCATTGCAGACAATTGGGGAGTGAACCAGTGGATGGAAGATCTCTCTCTCTCTCTTTCTGCCTGTCCTCTCTCTGTGTAACTCTGACTTTCAAATAAATAAATAAATAAATCTTTAAATAAATAAATAAATAAAAGTAAAATATGTGCTGGAGTCCAGCTCCAGCCAGTCCAGGGGTCCCAAAGTGTGAAAGGTGTCAGCACAGGAAAAAATGAAAGACACACTAACAACAAAGCTGATGACATGGCTCTGGCTCTCGAGCGTCAAACTTTATATCATGCTACATAATGATTCTTTCTTACAATAATAAGTTTGTAGTCCATTGTCTTAGAACCATTGACCTTGTATTTTATGTTGCCTCTAGACTCTATGTCTACATCTAGTTACAATTTCTTTGACTTTCAAGGGCATATTCAGAGCATGGGTTAGAATCATAGACAGGCACGAGATAACAGGCTGCCCACACAAGCCAAGGCCTGGAGTGCTGTCGAGCTATGCAGAAATTGGTTACAGAAGCTAGAATATTACCTTCCTAATTTAATCTTTACTAGAAGCCCTAATGTTCAAAGCAGGCCCTTTTTTAAATGTATCCGCTCTTTTGCAGTTCTTTCTGTAATTCTTTAATTTCTTTATTGTGTTTATCCAAAGGTTCACTTAGATCTATTCCACAGTTGTTGTGTTTTTTTTTTAAGATTTATTTATTTATTTGAAAGACAGAGTTACACAGAGAGAGGACAGGCAGAGAGAGAGAGAGGTCTTCCATCAGATGGTTCACTCCCCAATTGGCTGTAATGGCCAGAGCTGCGCCAAACTGAAGCCAGGAGCCAGGAGCTTCTTCCAGGTCTCCCACGTGGGTGCAGGGGCCCAAGAACTTGGGCCATCTTCTACTTCTTTCCCAGGCCATAGCAGAGAGCTGGATTGGAAGAGGAGCAGCTGGGACTAGAACTGGCGCACATATGGCCAGGGCATTAACTGCTATGCCACAGCACTGGCCCCTATTCCACAGTTTTGACATCCTTACCATTGATGTATTTGTAGCACATATTGAATTAAATCTTTAATAACATTTATCTTTATTCTAGTGGGAAGTATATCCCTGTTGCCTTTTAATTCTTTTCCACAAACAGCTTGACCTTGTGTAAGGCATTAACCCCTTTTCCTACACTAACATTCTGCTTGATTAAAATCCTACAAAGCAATGGACATTTTTGGGATTATGAGACTAAGCGTTCTTCCCTAAAATTGGGAATACAGCAATCATTAGTGGGACCACCAGGAAGTTCCGGCAAAGTGTAGTTCCCAACAAACCTAAAACCATCAAGAGGACCTCAGCTGTCATTCTCATGCCTTGCTGAGACAGACCTTCTGCTGTGATCTTGTCAGCCAGCCAAAGTGGCTTTGGCCTCGCCAGATATGCATTTAATGCACTAATTTTTACTGTATAAGCAGTATTCAAAGCTCTTTCAATGCTGTTGAAGAATAAAACATCATACACTCAAAACAGGAAAAAGATGCTGGTCCATGGTACTGAATAAGAGACTATAGTGGCCCAATAGTTTCACTGAGCTGAGCAGCGTGAGGCAGAACTCAGCTAATTAATCAGTATGAGCTTTCTGTCTGGCCTCACTTTCTGCTTTGCTTCTTTCCAGTCTCTTTTGAAACTCAAACCACAAGTGCTACAACAAGGAGAAAGAGCAAGCAGGATCTCTGTGTCAGAAGAATTAGAAGAGTCCTGTAAGAGTCTGTTACTGGTGAGAACACTATTTGACTGCCTCTTGTTCCTTCCATGTCCTCTGTGCTGAGATACTAGATTGCTGCTTTGGTCCTGTAATGATAGGTGCATAAGGACTAATACCCTGCAGCAATAACTTGGGATATTTATGCCCAAGTTCCTCACAGTTCAGAATCTCTATCTTGGTCACTTATACATACTTGGAGTCTACTATGGGGTCTGCTACACACCTGCTGTCAAAAAATATTGTCAAGGGAATGAATCCATGAAGGCAGGTTGAAAACAAACACTAGTTTTAAGGATGGTTGACATAGATTCATGATCCATAAGTGAGTGGCTTACAGAAAGTATGAGATATTTATGTTCACCCCTAAACTTTTCTACTTGACTTCCTGGAGGGTAATAGAGCTTGTCCATAAACTATGTCATGCTTGGCAGAGACAAAATAGAGCAGATCAGTTTGGATATTGCTGTATCAGTCATCTTTAATAGATGCTTTGCTTTGATTCATAAGCAAGAGTCATCAGGCAGAAGTGTTTGTTTGCAAAACTTCTTATTGTTTTTCCCAGCATAGGGAAACTGTTTCGTGGGCGATCAAGACAGAAGTATGTGTAAGTAGAGGGTTCATGAACACTGACTCAGGCAAGTACTGTGTGGGGGAGGAAGAAAAGGCTGCACACTGATTTGTACAAGGAGAGAAAAAATGAAAAATGCCTGCTGTTGCCCTCATTGTAAGTAGCTGGGTGCTTAGAAACTGTCTTAGGATAAAGGCAGAGAGACATAGATCCTCCATCTACTGTGTCATACCACAGAACAGCTGGAGCTGAGCCAGATCAAAGCCTGGAGCCTAGAACTCAATCCAGGTGTTCCATGTGGTGGCAGGGACCCAACTGTTTGAGTCATCACCATTGCCTCCCAGGGTAAACATCAGCAGGAGGCTGGAAAGGGGAGTGGAGCTAGGACTCAAACTCAGGCAATCCAATATGGGGTGTGGGCCTCTGAACTGGCATTTTAACCATTGCCCCAAATGCCTACCCTCACTTACAAACTGTTAACCAACACAAGGCCAGCCTGTAAGAAGAATCTGAGTAGAGTTGTCTGGGGTTTTAGATAGCACCTAATGAGTATGGTCTCAAGGTGTAAGCCCCTGGGAAAGTAGAGACCTAGGAGAGTCACAGTAGCAAGGCTTACTTTTGCTCAGTGTTATGTGCTTTTAAAACCACCTTTGAATGTTTTCGCACCCAGGCTGAGCATGCGGCACTGCTGCGATTCTGTGGAGCCCCTCATTGATTCCATGCTGTTCCTATCTCGGAAGACGGAGGAGATTTTCTACACACGTTTGTCTCCTTTCTCCGTGCCAGACTAGTGGAAGCAGCATTCCAGAGGATGGTGACTCAAGACATTTGTCTGGAAGACTAGTTGGAACAGGAACTCTGCAAAGCAGGGCTCTTTCCTGCCTCTCTGTGCCAGCCTATCAGGTTCTCAGAACTGTGCGCACTCCATGTTCTTGAACTGCCATGGCTCCTGCTCCTGTCTGTGATTGCATTCTTGATCTGCCAGCCTAATCTGATCTCCCATTTCCTCCCACCTGGGGTGCCCTGCCCAAGTTTCTTTCCGGTACACTCCCATCACCTGTCTTCTTCCTTCATTATCACCTGTCTATCTGAGGTCCTATCTGTTTCTCATAGGCTTGTCGGTTGTGTTATTTGCTGTCAGTAGCAAACTGCCTACATGCTGCTAGCATGATTCAAAATGATTTTGAAATCTTTGTTTTTCTTCTGAGTATGATGATTTGGTATCAGAGATTTAATGGAGGCATTTTTCAAACTTTGGAGTGCTTTCTTGCCTCGGAGTTTGGTTAAACATAGAGGTTCAAGGCCCCACTCAAAGTATTTGGAGTTCAAATGGAGGCTCGATGTCTGTCTGTCTCTCTCTCTTTCTCTGTGTGTGTGTGTGTGTGTGTGTGTGATAAGATTCACTTATTTGTGGTAAAGCAGAGTGACAGAGTGATGGATGAGAGAGATCTTCCATCTGCTGGCTATCTCTCCAACAATGGGCACAACAGCTGGAGCCTGGAACTCCAATCTGGTCTTCCACATGGCTGGCAGGAGGCCCAAGTATTTGGACCATCTTCTGCTGCCTTCCCAGTACAATAGCAAGGAGCAGGATCAGAAGCAGAGCCAACTGGGAATCCAACCAGCATTCCCATATGGTATGCTGCCATCATAAACCATAGCTTAGATTGCTGTGCCACAATGCTGGCACTGCATCTGTGGGTGAGTTTTTTCCCCAATTATCTATCTGTCTATCTATCTATCTATCTATCTATCTATCTATCTATCTTATTGAAAGGCAGAGTTACAGAGAGAGGGAGAGACAGAGAGATCTTCATTCCACTAGTTTACTCCCCAAATCCCCACAGCAGCTAGGGCTGTGCCAGGCCAAAGCCAGGAGCAAGGAGCTTCTTCCAGGTCTCCACATGGGACATGAACTGACACCCATACAGGATACTGGCATCACAGGCAGCAGCATAACCCACTATGCCACCATGCTGGCCTCTGTGTCTGTATTTTTAACAAGCTCTCCAGAGACTACTAACTGGCCCAAATATTAAGAGTCAATGTTATTTTGTCTTATCTATTCAAGAACAAACAGTTCCAGTGGCAACATTGAATTATACATCTTTTGTCCCTGTTTTCTAAACTCTCCAGAAGTTAGATATTTCAGATTGTTTGGTGGGAGGTAGTAGGGGAGATAAATAATACTCCTTCCCTTCATGAGATTATAACCAGTTGAAAATATGTACAGGATTCAGCAGATGTAGATCAAAATATTGCCTTCCATTCCTTCTAAAGCTGATCAGAAAACACAGCTCTAAATCTCAATCAGTTGGCTCACTCCCGTCCACCATCTCCTGGCTGTGGGTGTGCCCTCCTGTCCCTTAGCACAGCTAGTCACCTGTGGACCCCTTAACCCAAGGACAGTGCAGAGGAGAGTGCATGAGGGCAGAAAGTGGGCCAGGAAGAGCATGGGGGAGAAGAAAAAGAGGGGAAGAGAAGGGGAAATAAAGAAAGGAGGAAGAAGAAAGGAATATAGAGAGAAGAGAGAACCAGAGAGAAACAAGATGAGAGGAAAAAGCAAGGCTGAACAGACTCTTCACTACTTTTAAGCTCACCAAAGAGAAAAACTGCTGTTTTGGTCACATAATCGCTTGACTGACTCTGGGTTTCAAAAAGATGTTTTCTTCACCTACATTTTTTTAAAAGATTTATTTATTTGAAAGTCAGAGTTACACAGAGAGAGAAGGAGAGGCAGAGAGAGAGAGACAGAGACAGAGAGCGGTCTTCCATCCACTGGTTCACTCCCCAGTTGGTCGTAACAGCCAGAGCTGTGCTGATCCGAAGCCAGGGGCCAGGAACTTCCTCTGGGACTCCCACACAGGTGCAGGGGCCCAAGGGCTTGGGCATCTTCTACTGCTTTCTCAGGTCATAGCAGAGAGTTGGATTGGAAGTGGAGCAGCTGAGACTCGAACCAATGCCCATATGGGATGCAGGCACTATAGGTGGTGGCTTTACGGGGTATGCCACAGCACCGGCCCCTCTTCACCTACTTTTTAGTGTCTAACACAACTCCCTAAAGGCAAACTATGACCACAGTTTGGATAATCTCAATGTTGAATGGCCTATGATGGGCCAGACCTGAACTCTGTCTCTAACACTGCAATTTTCACTTCTTGTTGCTTTTTCACTTATGGTTCCCCACTCCCATCTGCCTGCTAGTTTCTCCATCCTCTCCAAAACACCTTGCACATATTGTTCTGACAGTCGCTTGCAATAATCTGTTTACCGGCCGGCGCCGTGGCTCACTAGGTTAATCCTCCACCTAGCGGCACCGGATTCTGTCCCGGTTGCCCCTCTTCCAAGCCAGCTCTCTGCTGTGGCCAGGGAGTGCAGTGGAGGATGGCCCAGGTGCTTGGGCCCTGCACCCCATGGGAGACCAGGAAAAAGCACCTGGCTCCTGGCTCCTGCCATCGGATCAGCGCGGTGCGCCGGCCGCAGCGCGCTGGCTGCAGCGGCCATTGGAGGGTGAACCAACGGCAAAGGAAGACCTTTCTCTCTGTCTCTCTCTCTCACTGTCCACTCTGCCTGTCAAAAAAGAAAAAAAAAAAAAGCAATCTGTTTACCTGGGTCACTCAGCACACAGCACACGACTTTATTTTTTGTTTATTTTTGACAGGCAGAGTGGACAGTGAGAGAGAGAGACAGAGAGAAAGGTCTTCCTTTGCCGTTGGTTCACCCTCCAATGGCCGCCGCAGCCAGCGCGCTGCGGCCGGCGCACCGCGCTGATCCGATGGCAGGAGCCAGGTGTTTCCCCTGATATCCCATTCAGGTGCAGGACCTAAGGACTTGGGCCATCCTCCACTGCACTGCCGGGCCACAGCAGAGAGCTGGCCTGGAAGAGGGGCAACTGGGACAGAATCCGGCGCCCCAACCCGGACTAGAACCCGGTGTGCCTGCGCTGCAGGCGGAGGATTAGCCTATTGAGCCATGGCGCCGGCCATAACACACTACTTTAAGGCAGAGAGCAGAGTATTCTTTGCTGTGTGTTGGGCGGCAACATAATGGCTTAAATATATTCCCTCCTTTCTGTCTTCATCCATACTCTAACTATGATGTATTAGACCTTCTCTAGGAAATTATATAATTAAAGTTTTACTTATTTGTTTATTTGAAAGGCAGGGTGACGGAAAGGGGTGGAGAGCAGAAAGATAGATAGAGCTCCCATTGGCTAGTTCACACCACTAATGCCCACAGTAACCAGGGCTGGGCCAGGACAAAGCCAGGAGCTCCAGCCAGGTCTCTTTCTTGGGTAACAGAGACTCAAGTACTTGGGCCATCATCTGGTGCCTCCCAGGCACATTAACGGGAAGTTGAATAGGAAGTGAAGATGGACTTTGTCCCAGGGACTCCAGTATGGGATATAAGCTTCCCTAGCCAACTTCGCATTACTTTAAGACACCTGAGAGTAGCCACTTAGGAAGGAAGTAGGTTTATTTCAGCTCACAGTTTGTAGGCTCACAGTCCTAAACTGGGGGGTGGGGGGATGCCCATTAGTTTGGTATCTTGTGGAGACTGCCAGTGGCAGAAGTATGTGGAGGAACAATCACATGGTGAGCCAGGAAGAAGAGAGAGGACATGGAGCACACTCTGCTTATTTAGCCAACTGTCTCTCTCAAGAGTGACCTTCTAAAGGCATGCCCCCATGCCCTAAAGACCTGCCACTAGTCCCGCCTCTCAGATACCACCCTTAATCCGTCAACCTTAGCAGTAATTCATTAACCAGTAGGACTTTGGGGGCTTAAAGAGCTACATGAGTCTAGGAAACTAAATCTTCTTCAAACCATAACATTGGTTTTCTTCAAGCTTTCAAGTTCAACTTACAAGCCTTATTATTCTGTTTTTTAGATTAACAACTTTAGTAAAAATGGAATAAATGAAATACATTCAAACATTTTATATTGCGTTCATAAATTTAACACATTCCATCTTCTAGCCCTTCAATTTTCCGATTGATAAATATTCTCAAGTAACTAAATAGTTCTTACAAATTAGAAAAATATTTAGGGGCCAGTGCTGTGATGTAGCAGGTAAAGACACTGTGCCAGCATCCCATATGGGGGCCAGTTCAAGTCCTGGCCGCTCCACTTCCAATCCAGCTCTCTGCTACGGCCTGGGAAAGCAGTAGAGTATGGCCTAAGTCCTTGGGCCTCTGCACCTGTGTGGGAGACCTGGAAGAAACTCCTGGCTCTGGATTGATCCGACTCTGGCTGTTGCGACCATTTGGGGAGTCAATTAGTAAATGGAAGACATCTCTCTCTCTCTCTCTCTCTCTGCCTCTGTTTCTCTGTAACTCTATCTTTCGAATAAATAAATAAATCTTTTTTTAAAAAAGAAAAAGTAGATTTAAAGATTTATTTATTTATTTGAGAGTCAGAGTTACACAGAGAGAGGAGAGGCAGAGAGAGAGAGAGAGGTCTTCCACCCGTGGGTTCACTCCCCAACTGGTCGCAATGGCCGGAGCTGCGCTGATCCAATGCCAGGAGCTTCTTCCAGGTCTCCTACATGGGTGCAGGGGCCCAAGGACTAGGACCATCTTCTACTGCTATCCCAGGCCATAGCAGAGAGCTGGATTGGAAGTGAAGCAGCCAGGTCTCGAACCAGCACCTATATGGAATGCTGGCACTTCAGGCCAGGGCATTAACCCACTGAGCCACAGCGCCCGCTTCTGAAAAAGTAGATTTAGATATGATGACTCTCCTAAAAATATTCTAGTACTATTTCCAAACCTAATACAAATTTTTAAAAAAGAATTTATTTATTTGAAGGGCAGAGTGAAAGAGAGAGGGAGAGAGATCTTCTATCCACTAGTTCACTCTCCCAAAAGATTGCAATAGCTATACCTGGGCCGCCAAATTGAAACCAGGAACCAGGAAATCATCCAAGTCTTCCACATAGATGGCAAGGGCCCAACACTTGGAACATCTTTTCCTCTACTTTCCTAGGTGCATAAGCAGGAAGCAGGTGCAGAAGCAGAGCAGCTGGGACTTGAAACAGCGCTCCAAAATGGGATGCCCATGTTGCAAGTGGTAGCTTAACCTCACTGAGCCACAATACCAGCCCCGGATAAAATTTTTTTTTACCTTTTGACATAGACTCACAGTTCTAAATCAGTCACATCATGACAAGTTTAAATTAGAATCATTCTGCTCAAGAAATTACAAAGGAACTGGGAACATGTTCAAGGCTACCCCAAATGATGCCTTCTGCAAACTGTGGATTATGGAAATCTCTTCAGGACAAACAACCTGGTTTCTTTAATAATAAATGCAAAGGAAAAAGGAGGGTCATCATTACAGCGCAGTGAATTAAACCACTGTTCACAATGCTGGCATCCCCTATTGAAGTGCTGTTTTGAGTCCTAGCTGCTCTGCTTCCCATATATGTACCTGCTAACATGCCTGGGAAAACAGTGGAGGATGGCCTAAGTACTTGTGCCCCTGCCACCTACAGGGGAGACCCAGATGGAGTTGCTGGCTCCTGACTTTCATGGGGCCCACACCAGGCCATTTCAGCCATTTGTGGAGTGAACCAGCAGATAGAAGATCTCTCTCTCTCACACACACACTCTGCCTTTCATGTAAATAAATAAAATTCTTAAAACAACTCTTTTTATAGAGACTTTTTTTTAAAGATTTTTATTTTATTTTTATTTAACAGGTAGAGTTACAGACAGTGAGAGAAAGAGACAGAGAGAAAGGTCTTCCTTCTGTTGGTTCACTCTCCAAATGGCCACAATGGCTGGAGCTGTACCAATCCAAAGCCAGGAGCTAGGTGCTTCCTCCTGGTCTCCCATGTGGGTGCAGGGCCCAAGCACTTGGGCCATCCTCCACTGCCTTCCTGGGCCACAGCAGAGAGCTGGACAGGCAGTGGAGCAGCTGGGACTAGAACCGGCACCCATATGGGATGCCGTTGCCACAGGCGGAGGATTACCTAGTGCGCCATGGCGCCTGCTCCTAAAGAGACTTTTAAAAAAATAAATTTATTTATCAGGCAGAGTTACAGAGAGGGAGAAGCAGAGGCAGAGACAGAAGGAGAGATCTTCCATCTGCAGATTCATTCCCCAAATGGCTGCAACATCCAGGGCTGGAACAGTCCAAAACCAGGAGCACTGGGCAGGACTGGGGCAGGACGTCTTCAGAAATGGGAGTCTGATTGATGTCAGAGACTTTTTTTCTGGCCTGCTCCAAGACAGGAAAGCAGGAGGAGACTTTTTTTTTTTTTAAGATTTATTTTATTTATTTGAAAGACAGAGTTACAGAGAGAGGTAGAGACAGGGAGAGGTCTTCCATCCACTGGTTCATTCCCCAGATGGCCACAACGGCCAGAGCTGCGCCAATCTGGAACCAGGAGCCAGAAGCTTCTTTCGGGTCTCTCACGTGGGTGCAGGGGCCCAAGGACTTGGGCCATCTTCTATTGCTTTCCCAGGCCACAGCAGAGAGCTGGATCAGAAGTAGGTGCCCATATGGGATGTCGGAACTGTACGCCGTGGCTTTACTTGCTATGCCACAGCACTGGCCCCTCACTTTCAGTATTAATCACTTTAGGACTATGGATCCTGCCTCTCTGAGGGATTTATCAACTCCCTTGAACACATGGTAAATGCAGTGGATCCTTTCTCAGAAAGATGGTATAAAAGCACACAATTTTGAAAATCATGGCAGAAGGGAATTCCCAGATTAAACAGCTGCTTTAACAGTAGATCATCTACGATCTGGAACACTTCCTGCACTAATTGTTTCGTTCATTCAACAGATTACTGGAGACCTACACAGAAGCCAAGCCCAGTTCTAGAGGTTGGGTTTAAACACCACCTAGAACAAGACCGACTTCAAGGAACTTACATTCCAGCGTGAGACAGGCATTAAACAAGCAAACGTAGGGATAGAGGGAGATGCAAAGGTTAGGATGAGTTACAGTTTAATGATGTGGTCCTCTCCGAGGTGATTTTTGGCGAGATCTGTATACAGTGAAGCGAGATGGTTATGAAAAGACATGAGAAAAGATGATTGCCGTCATTGCGAATAGAAAAGTGCAAGGTTGGGGCCGGCGCCATGGCTCACTAGGCTAATCCTCCGCCTACCGGCGCCGGCACACCGGGTTCTAGTCCCGGTCGGGGCACCGGATTCTGTCCCGGTTGCCCCTCTTCCAGGCCAGCTCTCTGCTGTGGCCAGGGAGTGCAGTGGAGGATGGCCCAGGTGCTTGGGCCCTGCACCCCATGGGAGACCAGGAAAAGCACCTGGCTCCTGGCTCCTGCCATCGGATCAGCGCGGTGCGCCGGCCGCAGCGGCCATTGGAGGGTGAACCAACGGCAAAGGAAGACCTTTCTCTCTGTCTCTCTCTCTCACTGTCCACTCTGCCTGCCAAAAAAATAAAAAAAATAAATAAAAATAAATAAAAAAAGAAAAGTGCAAGGTTGTGTGTGTGTGTGTTTGTGCGGCAACTTTTTTTCTCTAAGCAGGTAAGATCTAATATTCTGCACATTCTCTTCCTCCCATGAAAAACAGCCTCCATGAAAAACACCATTCTGAGACCCCAGTGCTGAGGGCTGGGCTTGAAGAGCCTCTCCAGATCCCCGTTTCAAACTTTCAAACCCTAAACCGCCACATTCAGCGCTTCTGTGAAACGCCTCTTTCCCTGGAAACATTAATTCATCCACCTGGGAGTCACCTAGCATTTCTCTGAGTATTATATACATTTAAAAAACAGATAATACTGTGACTTTTCAAGAACGTGTGCTTGGGGCAGCGGTTTTGTTTTTCCGGGTCATACGGTGACGTCTTGTCCAACCCAAGGCTACTTAAGAGCGGCAGCCAGCCTGCAGATCCTGCTCCCCCTGCCTTGGGGCCGCTTTCCCGCCGAGACTACATTTCCCAGAGTGCGTCGCAGGCCGGAAGGACGCGCAGGACGGTGTCTCGTAGGACCCGGATTAGGACAAGATGGCGTGCTAGTGGTGAGTAACTGTCAATATAGATGTTCTCTTACAGTGGAGCAGTGACCTGGTTTATGATCAGGGGTCAAGGTCTCCTGCATGTCGTTCCTGGCAGGACAGGCTCTGTCTGTCCTGCGGAAGGGCAGGCGTGTGGCCTCGTGTTTCCCCCTCATCTAGGGCCCGGCTACATCTTGTAGATGTAGATGATCAGTCTTCGGAATCTGTTCCTGGGTGCTAGTCCCGGTGCTTTTAGTAGTCAGTTCCTCAGACCTCGGGCCTTCCGGGCCTTCTGCCTTCTTCAAGGTGAATCCAGAGGCAAGGGATTTTCCCGTGGAATTTGTCTTCTTGGAGTGAATAAGCTTGCCCCTGGGCTCGGGTCGAGGGGACGTGCTATCGGCCAAAACGTTCGTCTCTTGCGCGCCTGGTCATGGGTTTGCGTCTCACTCGTGCCACCTATTAGAGCAGAGGAAGAGTGGCCAAGGAAATCGTTTGACCTCTCCGAGCCTTTGTTCGTAATCTATAAAATGAAGATGCCAATTTCATAGACTAGTGAAGTCAGAGTACATAATTATATGAAAGGGAGTTGTTAACTGGAAGCAGCACCCTGTGAACGCAGGGTTGGCAGGGCTAATGCGCTGCCACTGCAGGGAATCAGGCTGCCCCGCGTAGTCTAGAAGTTAGGAGGACTTGTTTCTTAATTGTTTCATCACTGTGGAGGAAGCGCTCTGATAACCATGGAGACCAGTTAAAGACAAGGACTCAGCGGCTATGCGAGTATGTCGCTTATTCACAACAGCCCTTGGATATTGTGGTTCTTTCCCCCATTATGCCTTTATGATACTGAGGGTCATTTAGTTAATGATTTGCTCAAAGTTTCCTAGTTTGTGACTGACACCAGAGCCCTTAGAAGCAAGTCATTTACATTTTGTACTTTAATTTGTTAATGAATCAAAGTAGATGCCTCACGTGATTCATATGACAGTAAAACTGTGCAGGCTGGTTTCCTGTACCAGCAGCGCCTCAGCCCCACCAACCCTGCATTCACAGTGTGCTTTTTCCAGTTTACAACCCATTTTCATCTAATTATGTAGTCTGACTTCCACAAGTCGGTGAAATAGGCATCGCCATTTTATAGATTATCTTATAGATTTTGCACAAAGGCCCAGAGAGGTCAAACAATGTGCTTTCAGCCACTCCTCTGCTGTGGATAGTTAAAAACCTTGTATATAAAAGTTCTTGCAAAATGCAATATTAAGATAGCTATTTGGTACAAAAGATTCTTGAACTCCATGCCTGTAAAATGTCTTCAGAAAGTTCATGGAAGATCAGATTATGAAAAATACATGGGGCTGGCGCCGCGGCTCAACAGGCTAATCCTCCGCCTGCGGCGCCGGCACCCTGGGTTCAAGTCCCAGTCGGGGCGCCGGATTCTGTCCTGGTGGCTCCTCTTCCAGGCCAGCTCTCTGCTGTGGCCAGGGAGTACAGTGGAGGATGGCCCAAGTGCTTGGGCCCTGCACCCGCATGGGAGACCAGGAGAAGCACCTTGCTCCTGGCTTCGGATCAGCGCGGTGCACCAGCCGCAGCGCGCCGGCCGCACGTTGGGGGGTGAACCAACGGCAAAGGAAGACCTTTCTCTCTGTCTCTCTCTCTCACTGTCCACTCTGCCTGTCAGAAAGAAAAGAAAAGAAAAATACATGGCTTTCCAAACATATTTTTCATGAAAATAAACTTGTCATTTGATTCAGCTTTTCCATGAACTTTTTGATGAGCCCTTTTATAAATGGTGAAATTTTATCTGGGACTTTGAAGTCTTTAAAAAGTTCATGAAAAATGTGCGTCATCATTTAATTCCATTTTCTCACAAGCTTTTTGAAGTCCCTTCCTGCTTTCTCCTAAATAAGTATTTTTTAAAAAGATTTTATTTATTTGAGAGGTAGAGTTAGAGAGAGAGAATCTTCCATCTGCTGGTTCACTCCCTAAATGGCCACAATGGCCGGTGCTGGGCCTATCTGAAACCATCAGCCAGGAGCTTTGTCTGAGTCTCTGATGTGGGTGTAGGGGCCCAAGGACTTCAGTCATCTTCTACTGCTTTCCCAGGTGTATTAGCAGGGAGCTGGATCAGAAGAGGAGCAGCCAAGACTAGAACCTGTGCACATATGGGACGCCAGCGCCACAGGTGGAGACTTAATCTACCATGCTACAGTGCCAGCCCCCTAAATAAGCATTTAATAGGCTATGGATAGGCCTTTTCTAAGATACTTCATTTAATCAGAAACACAATACTACCGTAATTGATGTAATAAGATCTTGCGTATGGCACCTGGGAGGTTGTACATGAGCATTATAAAAGCAAATCCTCTATGTGTGAGTGACTTTCAAAGAGTAATTTCGTGTTCACTGAATACTCATTAAGTGAAAAGAGCTGCATTGGATGGTAAGAAGTTTGCACTTGAGAAAAAGTAATGGACATACTTCTGGGAGTTCTCATGATACATTTTGATACTTTTTTTTTTTTCCCTGTAGCTAAGCTATGTGGAAATACAATTGTGTTTTATTTGTTTTAAGATTTATTTATTTGGAAGGCAGAGCTGGTACCAGCGTTGTGACATAGAGTAAGCTGCTGCCTATGGCATACCATAGGGGTGCCAGTTGGAGTCCCCGTATGTATACTAACGATAATAAGACTAAATTAGTAGACTGAAAAGAAAAAGACCATAAAAAATACAAGTCCCAATTTTTATTATCCTATTTAATGCACATAAAATTAATTTTCAATGAATGAAATCAGAACAAGGAATAAAAAAAGATGGGCTGGTGCCACGGCTCAATAGGCTAATCCTCCGCCTGTGGCACCGGCACCCTGGGTTCTAGTCCCGGTCGGGGCGCCAGATTCTGTCCCAGTTGCTCTTCTTCTAGTCCAGCTCTCTGCTGTGGCCCGGGAGTGCAGTGGAAGATGACCCAAGTACTTGGGCCCTGCACCCCATGGGAGACCAGGAGAAGCACCTGGCTCCTGGCTTCAGATCAGCGCGGTGCGCTGGCCGCAGCGGCCATTGGGAGGTGAACCAACGGAAAAAAGGAAGACCTTTGTCTCTGTCTCTCTCTCTCTCGATGTCTAACTCTGCCTGTCAAAAAATAAATAAATAAAAATTAAAAAATTAAAAAAAAAGAATAGAAAAAGATGGTTAAAAAATCACTGAAAATGTGAACTTAAGATTAATAGGCTGGCACTGTAGCATAGTGGTTAAGCTGCCACCTACAGTGCAAGCATCTCAGATCCAGAAGTTACTCCTGGCTCCTGGTTTCAGTCTGGCCAGCCCTAGCTGTTGTGGTCGTTTGGGGAATGAATCAGCAGATGGAAGGTCTTTCTCTCTGTCTCTTCCTTTTTCTCTCTCTTTTTAAGTCTGCCTTTGAAATAAGTAAATAAATCTTTTTTTTTTTTTTTTTTTGCCAGGCAGGGTTAGACAGTGAGAGAGAGACAGAGAGAGAGTTATAGACAGTGAGAGAGAGAGAAAAAGGTCATCCTTCCGTTGGTTCACTCCTAATGGCCGCCTCGGCTGGCGCAACGCTGATCCAAAGCCAGGAGCCGGGTACTTCCTCCTGGTCTCCCATGTGGGTGCAGGGACCCAAGCACTTGGCCCATCCTCCACTGCCCCCCGGGGCCACAGCAGAGAGCTGGACTGGAAGAGGAGCAACCAGGACTAGTACCTGGTGCCCCAACCGGGACTAGAACCTGGGGTGCCATTGCCGCAGGCGGAGGATTAGCCAAGTGAGCCACGGTGCCAGCGTAAATAAATCTTAAAAAAAAAAAAAAAAAAGGCCAGCACCGTGGCTCACTAGGCTAATCCTCCGCCTTGCAGCGCCAGCACACCAGGTTCTAGTCCCGGTCGGGGCGCCGGATTCTGTCCCGGTTGCCCCTCTTCCAGGCCAGCTCTCTGCTGTGGCCAGGGAGTACATTGGAGGATGGCCCAAGTGCTTGGGCCCTGCACCCCATGGGAGACCGGGAGAAGCACCTGGCTCCTGCCTTCGGATCAGCGCGGTGCGCCGGCTGCAGCGCGCCGGCCGTGGCGGCCATTGGAGGGTGAACCAATGGCAAAGGAAGACCTTTCTCTCTGTCTCTCTCTCTCACTGTCCACTCTGCCTGTCAAAAATATATATATATATATAAAGGCAGAGCTTCAGAGTTAGAGGGAGGGACAGAGAGAGAAAGAGAGAGAGATCTTCCCTCTGCTGGTCCATTCCCCAAATGGCCACAGCAGCCAGGACTGGGCCAGGCTGAAGTCAGGAACCAGAAACTCCGCTGTGGCTCCCACATGAGCAGCAGGGCCTCGGGTACTTGGACTATCTTCTGCTGCCTTCTGAGATGCACTGGCAGGAAGCTGGATTAACTGCAGTGTTGCAAGCAGCCGCTTAACCTGCTGCGCCACAACATCGGCCCCATGCAGCGTTGCTTAAAAGCTTTGCTTCAAGTGATTGTAGCTCTAGGTAGTGATTTCTGTCTTGTATTGTTTAGTACTTGTATGTTGTATCACTTTAGTGTACCATAGGTAGCACTGATTTTTCTTTATCTTTTAAACAGGGACAAAAACTGATGTGCCTAGAAGCAGATTTTGAAGGCAGTTTTCTTCAAAGAATCTTTTTTCATCCCAGCTGATAAGCTACGTCTTGATACACCATGGCGGCAGCAGTAATGAAATGGGTGATATCAAAGAGAACTATCTTGAAACATTTATCTCCAGTCCAAAGTGAGTTTTTTTTTTTTTTAAATTATTGCTTAAAAAGTTGTTTTTTAAGATTTATTTATTTGCAAGTCAGAGTTATAGAGAGAGAGGGAGAGACAGAGAGAGAAAGAGTTTTTCTGTCCACTCCCCAAATGGCTGCAGTGGCCGGGGCTGGGCCAGGCTGAAGCCAGGAGCCTGGAACTCCATTCTGGTCTCCCACATTAGTGGTAGGGGCCCAGCTGCTTAGCTCATGCTGCTGCTTTCCCACGCACATTAACAAGGAGCTGGATTGGAAATGGAGCAGCTGGGCAGTGCTCACATGGATGCTGTTGTTGTGAGTGTCAGCGTAACCTGCTCTTCCACAACTCCAGCCCCTATTTATTTATTTATTTATTTTAAATTTATGTTTTTACTTGAAAGGCAGTGTTAGAGAGAGAGTGGGAGAGAGAGAAATCTTCCATTCACTGGAAGATCCTCAAATGGCCACAACAACTGTGGGTGCAGCAGGTGGAAGCCGGGAGCCTGGAATTTGGGCTGGGCCTCCTACATGGGTGCAGGGCCCCAAGCATTTGGGCTATTTTCTGCTCCTTTCCCTGGTGCATTATCAGAAAGCTGGATCAGAGGTGGAGCAGCCAGGACTTGAACTGGTGCTCCTATGAAATGCCAGTGTCCCAGGCAGTGGCTTAGTGCACTTCACCATACCACCAGCCCCCATATTACTTTTTAAATAATTCTTAAAGTTTGCCAGCAAAGTATAAAGTCATAGTCAATGTTCCAAAGATGACCAGATAATTCAAAGGTAATATCTGAGTGTATTCACTTTGTGTCCTTCCCTACACACACAGAAACACAAGAACATAGCCATTTGAAAAAAAAAAAACAGTAATTTTGGGCTGACATTGTGGTACAGTGTATTAAGCCACAGCCTGCAGCAATGGTATTCCATGTGGGTGTTGGTTTGAGTCGTAGCAGTTCCAGTTCTAATCCAACTGCCTGCTAATGCACCTGGGAAATCCACTGGGAAAGCAATGGAGGATGGCCCAAATGCCTGGGCCCCTGCCATCCATGTGGAAGACCCAGATGAAGCTCCTGCTTGCTGGCTTTAGCCTGGCCCAGCCCCAGCCATTGTGGTCATTTGGGGAGTAAACCAGCAAATGGATAATCATTCTCTCTCTGTCTCCTTTGTCTGTCCCTCTATCCTTGTAACTGTCTTTCAAAATAGATAAATAAATCTTTAAAAAAAAAAAAAAGTGGGAAAGAGTTGTTTGAAGACTAGGGTTAAAATGTAAATTAATACATAATTTGAGAACACTTCAGCAAAGGAAAGATGTTTTACCCACTAAACACCTTTTTTCAAAAGAATATTCAGAAGTTTGTTAACTTTAAAAAAAAAAAGATTTATTTTATTTATTTGAAAGACAGAGAGGTAGAGCGAGAGCGAGGGAGAGAGAGGTCTTCCATTCCCTTGGTTCACTCCCCAAATGACCACAATGGCCAGAGCTCAGCTGATCCATACCAGGAGCTTCTTCCAGGTCTCCCATGCAGGTACAGGGGTCCAAGGACTTGGGCCATCTTCTGCTTTCCCAGGCCATAGCAGAGAGCTGGATTGGAAAAGAAGCAGCCAGGACTTGAACCAGCGCCTGTATGGGGTGCTGGCACTGCAGGTTGGGGCTTTAACCCACTGTGCCACAGCACTGGCCCCTAAATCATACTCTTTAAAAATAATTTTTAAATTTTTTATTTATTTGATTGAGAGGCAGAGAGAGAGAAAGAGAGCTTACATGGTTCAGTTCCCAAATGCCTCAGACGGTTGGATCTGGGTCACGATGAAGCTGGGAGCCAAGAACTCAGTCTGGGTCTCTGGTGTTGGTGGAACCCAACTGCTTGAGTCATCACCACTGCCTCCCAGGGAGCTGGAATCAGGAGTAGGGGCTGGATGTTGAACCCAGACACCCTGACATAGAATGCAGGCATTTTTTTTTTTTAAGATCCACTTATTTATTTGAAAGGCAGAGTTCCTGAGAGGCAGAAGCACAGAGAGAAAGAGGTCTTCCAGCCACTGGTTCACTCCCAGCTGGCCGCAACGGCCAGAGCTGCGCTGATCCAAAGCCAAGAGCCAGGAGCTTCTTCCGGGTCTCCCACATGGGTGCAGGGGCCCAAGGACTTGGGCCATCTTCTCCTGCTTTCCCAGGCCATAGCAGAGAGCGGGATCAGAAGTAGTGCAGCCGGGACTTGAACCAGTGCCCATATGGGATGCCAGCACTGCAGGCGGCGGCTTTACCTGCTATGCCACAGTGGCATCCTCGTGTTTTTTAAAGATTTATTTATTTATTTGGAAAATAGAGTTACATAGAGCAAGGGAGAGAGAGAGGGAGAGAGAGTGCAATCTTCTATCTACTGTTTTGCTCCAAGATAGCCACAACATCTGGGGCTGCGCCAGGCTGAAGCCAGGAGCCAGGAGCTTCTTCCAGGTCGCCCATGTGGGTAGCAGGGGCCCAAGCACTTGGGCCATCTACTGCTTTACCCACTACACCACAAAGCTGTTCCCAGGATGGGGGAATCTTAATTGGTGTTTTAAGTGCTAGGCCCAACATCTGTTCTTGCCAAATCCTACTCTTAAAGGAAATGTTCCTTTCCTGCCCCTTTGCTTACCCCACTGCCCTGTTCATTAGGGCTTTGAGCATAATATTACATTATATTTTAAGTAAAACCAAGTTAAAATTAATTTAATGCTGATGAGAAGTCAGATCTCAGTAGTTTTTACGTAGTCCATGCCTCAAAACAGCAGTTAATCCTCACACAAGTTAATAATATGGAAACCAGTTAATCTGCCCCTTGAGAATTATTTGTGTCTTTTCCCCCACTAGACCTCTCATTAAATTTGTACTATGTGTAATTTATTTTGGTTCCCTCCCCTGCCTCTCATATGTGGAATGGATTGGATTTATCTAAGTTACTGTCTACCTAAGAATAAATTTAGATTACTCCAGAGAATTGTTCCATTTTCATTCTCCTAAAAGTCAGTTACTGCTTGACTTCTAAGGTCCTAAAGCCCCATGTTCTGTATAGTTCCTCTTATTATTATCAATGGTGAAGCATTATTACTGTATTTATTGATGTTTCATAAGAAAGCAAAGGAGATTAAGATTGGAGGCAAAGCACAACCATGATTAGGAAGAAAATTCAGTGAGCAAAAATAAAAACACTTCCCTATATTCTAGAAGGAATATTTAAAATTGTCCCCAAAATATAGTCAAGATAGGAATGTAGAATATTGTACAGGTTTTAAAAACATTAAACCACTTAGTCTTCACAACAGCTTTGAATTTGGCAGCTTGTAGTATTGCCTTCTTTATGAAAGTAAAGAAACTTGGGTGCGCTGGCTCCTATGAAGTTGCCCAAGGCCACATATTTGATAAATGGCAGCTGTGAATAAACCTCCCACCTTGCTCCCTCCTTCCTTCTTTCCTTGACAGAGTTGCATTTAGAGGTAGAGACAAGAGAGGTCTTGCATCCACTGGTTCACCCTGCAAATGGCTGCAACAGCTGGAGCTGAGCCAATCTGAAGCCAGGAGCTTCTTCCAGGTCTCCCATGTGGGTTCAAAGGCCCAAGGATTTGGGCCATTCTCCACTGCTTTCCCCGGTCATAGCAGAGAGATGGATTGAAGTGGAGCAGCTGGGACCAGAACCAGCACCCATTTGGGATGCCAGTGCTCCAGGCCAGGGCTTTAACCCACTGCACCACAGCACTGGCCGCCCCCACCTTTCTTAATCCAATACATGTTCTGTTCTATAGTCTTTAATATAATATAGTAACTTAAAATATTCAGCATTTCAGCTTTTGCTGAAACACAGATAATACACACACACACACACACACACATATATAAAAATAGCCTATAAATAACTGAGGGCTTGACTGTCATTGAAACTCTAGCACATTGAATTGGTGTAAGTTGATTGATAACTTTGGTTTTGGTCCTGATTATATATTCAGAGCCTCTAATACATCCCAAATCTAAAATTTTTTATCTTGGTAAAACGTCAGATAATGAGTTCTTCAAGTATTAATTTTTTTAGATTTATTTATCTATTTGAAAGGCAGAGTTACAGAGAGGCAGAAGGAGAGCGAGAGGGGGGGTCTTCCATCTGCTGGTTCACTCCCTAAATGGCCTCAATGGCCAGAGCTGGGCCAGCCCGAAGTCAGGAACCTGGAACTTCTTCTGGATCTCCTACGCGGGTGCAGGGGCCCAAGCACTTGGGCCATCCTCCACTGCCCTCCGGGCCACAGCAGAGAGCTGGACAGGAAGAGGAGCATCTGGGACTAGAACCCAGTGCCCATATGGGATGCCGGCACCGCAGGCAGAGAATTAATCAAGTGAGCCACAGCGCCAGCCCTGAACAGTCTTTTGCAAGAAAAGAGTGACCTTAAGAATCTGTATTTGGGCCTGTAAGTATATGCAGTTTGGGGGAGAAAAGAAGTATATTCAAGGATGGAAGCATGGACCCACATGAATAACTGTGCAGAAAAGCAATGGGCAATAAAGAAGGGGTAGCAGTGTCATGACACACTGACTGTGGTCAGGTCACACAGTTCCCCCTGTAAGGGAGCTTGCGGGAGAGAGGGTAAAAAAGGTTTCATGGAAGAATAGCATTTCACTTGACTTTGAAAGATGAGTGGTGTTTGAACAAGTGGGAGACATGGTAAAGGCGAGGAGATGGGAAGGACAGGATATTTTATAGTGGCATGTAGCAGGAGCAAGAGGCTCTATCGAGAGAGGCTGATCCTTGGATTTAGTCCAGGTATATTCATAATTTTCTTTTAACTGTACTGAGTTGGTTTTACTTTTTTAAATACTCTTTCTCTGAACATAGGTGAACCTTTCACAAACTTTTCAGAAAGTAATTATGGCTCTTGAATTTGCAGGTGTCCTGAAAAAGGAAAATATGGTCTGAAATGTGAGCATGATGATTAGGAAAAGTTCATCTTGAATAAATTTCTTGGTATTTCATCACCTAACACCCCCCTTTTATAGACTGTGTACATTGGAATATGCAAATACTTCATGTTCTTTCTTGGAAGGACTGAAATACTCAAATACTTAGTTTCCTTTCTTACCTGTGGTCCTTGGACCTGTTATTCCCTCTGCAAGCAATGTTGTCCTCACTCCTTATCAACTCCTACGTGTCTCCCCATTTGCCAAGGGCTTTAGGCATCACTTCCTCTGGAAGGATTTTCTCGAACCTAGACCCTTGTTTTGGTGACCTGTTCATCTCCCCTTTTCTCTCTTCCAGTGGTTATGCAAGCCAAGAACACCTATCCTCTATACTGGAATTTTCCTTTTTTAATTTTTTTTAAAAAAATTCATTTTTTATTTGAAAGGCAAAAAGAGAGAGATGTAGCAGACACAGACAGATCGTCCATTCACTGGTTCACTCCCTAAATACCTGCAATGGCCAGGGCTGGGTCAGGCTGAAACCAGGATCCTGGAATTCAATCCAGATCTCCCATGAAAGACAGGGACCCAGGTCCTGGAGCTACCACCTGCTGCCTCCCAGGCTGTGCCTTAGTGTGAAGCTGGAGTTGTAAGCAGAACTGGGACTTGAAGCCAGGCATTCTGATGTCAGATGTAGATGTTTGAAGTGGATCTTAACTGCTGTGCCAAACACTGCTCCTTGAGTTGTTTTTTCTGTGCCTCTCTCCTATATAGACTGTACTTTTTTGAGGGCAGGGACAGAGATTTACCGGTCCCTAGACCACATACAGGCCTGTTTCACAGTAAACAGGTAGTGTTAGATGATTAAGTGAAAACACCTTTACATGTATGTGAGAACATGTACTCAGATTAACTCAGTGTATTTCACTGTTTGGGGTTTTTGCAGATGGAGCTTTATATTGTGTTTGCCATAAATCTACATATTCTCCTCTTCCAGATGACTATAATTGGTATGTATTAAGATTCAATTGAACAAATAACATCTTAGCTGTATCTGAAGTGATTTAATTTTATTTTCTTCCTGCTTTTCTGATTATTCTTTCTGTAATTTTGCTTTGAAAAATTATTTCAAAGATCTTATTTATCCAGCATTTGGGCTTACAAATATTTTAAGTAAAAAATCATTATCATTGTGTTTCAGTGAATACTTAGTTTGTTGTAAGACAGACATGCTGTTAGAAATGCTGTCTTCTCTTCCTGAAGAATGTGTTAGCTTTTTGAAAATGTTAATAAGTTTTATGGTTTTCTCTTTGAGTTCGTGTCTATTAGCTTAAATAGTTATTTATTTTATCTTTTGTTTGATGTTGAATAATCCTAAATTACAAATATTCAATTCAACCATCATTTATTTACTGTTTATTCAGTTCCAGTCATTATGCTAAGAACCAGGAATAATAACATAAAACATTGTCTTTTTTTCTCTACTGAAGACTCTGATTTATAGAAATTTCAGGATATTTTCTTAGGTTGCCTGGTTTTTATTGAAAATTATAGTAAAAATATATTCTTTTTTGACTCTAACTTTATTGTACATTTAGTGGGTAGTGAGATAAAAAGATAGTGATGAAATTGACTAGGTAACAGTTTCTGAATCTGAAAAGGTTGAATTCTGTGTTTTATAGTATCTAAAACTCCATCTTTTACCAAAAATCATTGGACAGGTTAAATGACCAGTAAAGGCATGTTATGGTATTCAGTCTTAAAATCATGGTGAAACAATCTAATGCTTTATCCTGTGTTAGCCAGAATATACTTTAGAGTTAATTACTAGGAGTTCAACTATGCAGTATACTTTGTTGAGGTAGTTAAGCTGAGATATTCTGAAGGCTGGTCTTGAGTTGCCTCCTAAGTTATGGGCACCAGATTTGCCAATCTAGTAACGTAGCACTGTTCTTCAGCAATTTGTGATTAATTAACTACAACTCAACAAATAATCATTCTACCTTGAATGCACTATAATTTTAACACATTCTTTTTTAGCAAAGTGGAGCTTGCTTTGACATCGGATGGCAGGACAATAGTATGCTATCACCCTTCTGTGGACATTCCATACGAACACACAAAAGTATGTATAAGAAAATCTCTTACAGTTTTAATTTGCCTTAGAAATATTCATTCTAAATGTTTATACTGAATGTTCATCCATAGAGAAAAATTGTCTGAATATTAAGGTTTTTTATTTTAAAGATTTATTTTTTAGAAAGATAGAGTGAGAGCAAGAGAGAGAGAGAACTTCCACCTGCTGTTTGATTCCCCAAATGGCTGCAATAGCCAGGTCTGAACCAGGCCAAAGCCAGAAGCCAGGGAATTCATTCTGGTCTCCCACATGGGTGGCAGGGGCCCAAGTACTTGGCCGTCATCTGCTGCCTTCCCAGGTGCATCAGCAGGAAGCTGGATCAGAAGCAGAGCAGCCAGAACTTTAACCGGCACTCCGATATGGGATGTTAGCATTGAAAGTGGCAACTTAACCTGTTGTACAACAGTGCTGGCCCCTGTTTTTATATATATAAAGATTTATTTATTTACTTTGAAAGTCAAAGTTACACAGAGAGAAAAAGAGAGGCAGAGAGAGAGAGAGAGAGAGAGAGAGAGAGGTCTTCCATCCATTGGTTCACTCCCCAGTTGGCCGCAACTGCTGGAGCTTTGCAGATCTGAAGCCAGGAGCCAGGAACTTCTTCCGGGTCTCCTATGCGGGTACAGGAGCCCAAGGACTTGGGTCATCTTCTATTGCTTTTCCAGGCCATAGCAGAGAGCTGGATCAGAAGTGGAGCAGCGGGGTCTCGAACCAGCAGCCATATGGGATGCCAGCACTGCAGGCGGTGGCTTTACCTGCTACACCATAACACCAGCTCCTAAAGTACTAATATTCTAAAAATGTTATTCTAGATTTTGGAATTTCTAGTTGAGGAAAATAAGGTTATTATACTGGGGATGAAAAAATGATATGGGAAAAGAAGGTAAGGATATAAAAATACTTCTTTTTAGTAGTATGTATAGTGGAAAATTTTAAAACTCAAATTTTGAGAATTCTTAGGAAAAATAAGAGAAATGAAGGATGACATTTCTGAATGTTGGCAGTTTTTTTTTTTTTTAATTTTTGCTTAATTTTTCTTGTTTGCCCAAAAAGATCCATTCTGAGTCTGCCAAAGGCTCTTGGTATAGGCTTTGAAAAATCTGTTAATCCTAGTGTCTTTTTCTTTTTTAAAGATTTACTTATTTATTTGAAAGTCAGAGTTACACACAGAAAGAAGGAGAGGCAGAGAGAAAGAGAGAGGTCTTCCATCCACTGGTTCTCTCCCCAGTTGGCTGCAATGAGCAGAGCTGCGCCGATATAGAGCCAGGAGCCAGGAGCTTCCTCCAGGTCTCCCATGGTGGGGTACAGGAGCCCAAGGACTTGGACTATCTTGTACTACTTTCCCAGGCCATAGCAGAGAGCTGGATTGGAGTGGAGCAGCCAGGACTCGAACTTGCATCCATATGGGATGCCGGCACTGCAGGTAGCAGCTTTACCCGCTACACCACAGTGCTGGCCCCATTTGATAATATTGAAAACATTTCATCTTGGGGCCAGTGCTATGGTATAGTGGATTAAGTTGCTATCTGCAGTACCAGCATCTCATATGGGTGCCAGTTCAAGTCTTGGCTGCTCTACTTCTCATCCAGCTCCCTGATAATTTGCCTGGAAAGCTATGGAAGATGGCCCAAGTCCTTGGGCCTCTGCCTCCACATTGGGGACCCAGATGAAGCTCCTGGCTTCTGGTTTGGGCCTGGCCCAGCCCTGACCATTGCAGCCATTTGGGAAGTGAACCAGTGGATGGAAAATCTCTGTCTGTTCCTCATTCTCTCTGTAACTCCGACTTTCAGATAAATAAATATATCTTTAAAAAACAAAACCTGTGAAATATTTTTTAAGAAGTTTCTCTTTAGTAACATGTATAATCTGAAAGAGAGAAAAGTGTTGTTTTATAGGGTCTGTCAACCTAAATAGTAACACAGAGAGACCTCAAAGATAAAAGCTTATCTGAGAATAACAGAGCAGTGCAGTGAGAATGCTTGTGCTATAGTAAACTGTAAGTGTATTCAGGGAGGCTGAGGCAAGGAGAAGGGTTTTTGTTGTTGTTATTTTCTTAAAGATTTATTTATTTATTTGAAGGTCGAGTTAGAGAGAGGGAGAGACACAGAGAGGGATCTTCCATTCCTTGGTTCATTCCCTGAAAGGCTTTAATGGCCAGGGCTGACCCAGGCTGAAGCCAGGAGCCTAGGACTCCATCCAGGTCTCCCACATGGGTACAGGGGTCCAAGTACTCAAGCCATCTCGTGTTGCTTTCCTAGGTGCATTAACCAGCTGCTTGGTTGGAGGTAGAATAGCTGTACTTGAATTGGTGCTCATATGTGATGCCAGCATCACAAGTGGTGGCTTAACCTGCTGTGCCACAGTGCCAGCCCCAAAGGGAAGCTTTTAAAGGCAAAATGAGGAAGAAAGTTATGTACATTGTTTTGAAACAATAGTCCTTGGCTACAAAGATCAACAATGTGGGTGGCATTGGTCTAAGGTTGAATGGGCAGTTGTTGTGCAGATGCCTTTGTGTTGTGTATAATTCTTTGTGTAAGGTTGCAGTGGCCTTGGGCAAGATTGTGCTTCTAGCATAGTCTCTTGTGATGGTTGTTGCTATAGGCATGTGTGTGTGAGACTCCTTCCTTTCTTTTTTTTTTTTTTAAAGATTTATTGTATTTTTTGAAAGTCAGAGTTACACAGAGAGAGGAGAGGCAGAGAGAGAGAGAGAGAGAAAGAGAGAGGTCCTCTGTCTGATGGTTCACTCCCCAATTGGCCGGAGCTGTGCCGATCTGAAGCCAGGAGCTAGAAGCTTCTTCCGGGTCTTTCACATGGGTGCAGGGGCCCAAGGACTTGGGCCCTCTTCCACTGCTTTCCCAGGCCATAGCAGAGAGCTGGATCGAAAAGGAGCAGCCGGGTCTCGAACTGGCGCCCATATGGGATGCTGGCGCTTCAGGCCAGGGCATTAACCTGCTGTGCCACAGCGCTGGCCCCAAGACTCCCTCCTTTCATAACCTCTCTTTTTATTCATTTGGTAGGGTTTGACAGGTGAGTCCATTTTGATTCTGACAGCTTTCACAGCTCTAATTCTGTTTTTCAGTCCCTCTCATGATATGTAACAATTTACAAAGACACATTAATATGTTACTTTATATAAAGAGATGATCTTTTAAAATCATTTAAATGTCTAAGAAGTATTTTCTCTTTAAAATACATTTATATAATTTTTTTTTCTTATTTGAGACCTTAAAAGAAATGATAATTGCTACCTACCATTTATTAAATTCTTAGAGTACTAGGCACAGCTAAATGTACTGTATACTATTTCAATTCATCCTCAACAAACCTTTCTGAGTAGATTTTACTCTGATTTTTCAGAAAGGACATCTGAGGGTTCAATAATATGCACAAGGTCACAGAGGTAGTAAATGACAGAATAAGAGGCCAAAGCTCAAGCTTTTACCCTCTTAGTTATATTTCTCCCTTATCCTCTCTTACACTAGGAGGGAATAATATACTACACCACTAATAAGGAAGGGGTTCCTTAATTAATTTAACTTAGAAAGCCTTTCATAATCTGTTTGAAATCCATCTTTTTTTTTTTTTTTAATTTATTTGAAAGTCAGAGTTACAAAGAGAGAGGAGAGGCAGAGAGAGAGAGAGATCTTCCATCTGATGGTTCACTCCCCAATTGTCTGCAATGGCCAGAGCTATGCCTATCTGAAGCCAGGAGCCAGGAGCTTCTTCCGGGTCTCCCATGAGGGTTTAGGGGCCCAAGGACTTGGCCATCTTCTGCTGCTTTCCCAGGCCATAGCAGAGAGCTGGATCAGAAGTGGAGCAGCTGGGACTCAAACCGGCGCCCATATGGGATGCCAATGCTGCAGGCAGCGTCTTAACCTGCTATGCCACAACACTGGCCCCAAGATCCATCTTTTAAAATTACCCTTTTACTTAATGTTCTTACCTATGTTTCTTTACTTACTCATACTATGTGTTTTCCCTTGGAGACTATATTGTACACTCTGTTACAAGTCTGACTCCACTCCCTTTTTTTTTTTTAAGGATTTATTTATTTTTTTGACAGGTAGAGTTATAGACAGTGAGAGAGAGGGAGACAGAGAGAAAGGTCTTCCTTCCGTTGATTCACTCCCCAAATGGCCGCTATGGCCAGCGCTGCGCCGATCTGAAGCCAGGAGCCAGGTGCTTCCTCCTGGTCTCCCATGGGCGTGCAAGGGCCCAGGCACTTGGGCAATCCTCCACTGCCCTCCCGGGCCACAGCAGAGAGCTGGACTGGAAGAGGAGCAACCAGGACTAGAACCGGCGCCCATATGGGATGCCGGCGCTGCAGGTGGAGGATTAACCACATGAGCCATGGCGCCAAAGACTCCCTTTTCTTTTCTCTTCTTACTGATGTCTTTGTTGCTTTGCATTTCCATACTGCATGTTCAGATGTGCCACCTCTATGTACTTACAAAGGCAGAGGCCATTTTGTTTCCTGCACATAAACTAAATAAACAGATATGTTGTAACACTTAATATCATGGTAGGAATGTAATAGTTGGCACTTATAGTATATGACTATAAAGAGGGTGTTTGCATGTTTCTTACCTGATTGTAAATGCAGATTTCCTTTATATTGTCATAACAAACAACTGTAAAATAGAGTTCTTGACCTTCTAAGGCAGTGATTCTTACTGATGGCAATATGTAGTTTGACTTGTATGTTGGAGAGATGAGATTTTTAGTAATTAATGTTTTGGGGAGAGAAGCTACTCAAGTTACCATAAAACATTATGTGATGATATTTCTTCACTTCAAATGAAAACGGTGAAAATTTTCCTACTTCTACGGGATATAAGAAGTATCATTTCTAATGAAAGGTTTTTCATTGTATCCTATATTAATGATATACATATATATACATATATATGGTAGGCTGTAAACTTTTAGATTAAAATTATAATAGGTATAATTTATACTTCTGGGAAATGAAAATTTAAATTAATAAATACTTGGGGGCCAGTGTTATGGCATAGTAGGTTAAACTACCATCTGTGATGCTGGCATCCCATATGGGTGCCAGTTTGTGTCCTGGCTGCTCCACTTTGGATCCAGCTCTCTGCTAGTGCACTTGGGAAAGCAGTGGAAGATGACACAAATGCTTGGGTCGTTGCCACCCATATGGGAGATGCAGATGGAGCTTTTGGCTTCAGCATGTTGCAGCCCTCGCCATTGCAGCCATTTGAAGAGTGAACTTGCAGATGGAAGATCTCTTCCTCTGTCTTTCCCTCTCTCTCTGTAACTCTGCCTTTCAAATAAATAAATGAGTGTTCTTTAAAAATAAGTACTTTATCATTAGAGAAGAAAGTAACTTTAAATAATAATTTCATTATTGGAAAAGAAACCCAAAAACTGGTATATGAAGAAAACTATTTCTGATTCCTTTTATTTTTATTTTATTTTCTTTATTTTTAAAAAATTATTTTAGTTACTTGAAGGCAGAGTTACAGAGAGACAGAGAAGGGGATCTTCCATTCCCTGGCTTACTCCCCAAATGGCTGCAATGGCCGGGGTTGAGCCAGGCTGAAGCCAGGAGCCTGGAACTCCATGCAGGTCTCCCACCTGGGTGACAGGGGCTCAAGTGCTTGAGCCATCTTCCAGTGCCTTCCCATGCTGAGTCAGAAGTGGAGCAGCCGGGACTCGAACCAGCGCTCATATTGGGATGCTGCTATCACAGGCAGTAGCTTAATCCTATGCACTACAATCCTAGCCCCTATTTCTGATTCTTCATTGAACAATGTAACCAAATGAAACTGTTCTGATTACTTATTTACCCTCCCTGAGATACTCTATGAATGACTGAGTATAACTTTTACTAGAAACTCAGTCAAATGCTCACCATGCATGTTCCTACATTTTGATTCTGTTTGCTACTGATTATTTTATAGCCTATCCCTCGACCAGATCCTGTACTTAATAATGAAGAAACACATGATCAAGTGCTGAAAACCAGATTAGAAGAAAAAAGTGAACACCTTGAGCAAGGACCCATGATAGAACAACTTAGCAAAATGTTCTTTACTACTAAGCACCGTTGGTATCCTCGTGGACAGTAAGTTCCATTTTTTTCAACTCCACCTAGACACATTAACGGAACACATAACTTTTCTTGCATTAATGACTTCTGAAATGTTATTTTCTGTGGGAAAATTAATCCCAAATACAATTACCTGCTATATTTTATTTTTAAATCTACATATAAGTATACACTAAACATCATTTTTCCTTTATTTTATTTGAAAGATTTATTTGAAAGGCAGAACAACTGAGGTAGAGGTTGAGGGGGGCAGAAGTGGAGAGAGAGAGGAGAGAGATTTTGTTTTTAGAAATGTATTTGTTTATTTGAATTGTGGAGTTACAAAGGCAGATGCAGAGAGAGAGAGAGAGTGAGAGAGAGAGGTCTTCCATTTGCTAGTTCACTCCCCAGATGACTGCAATGGCTGAAGCCAGGAGCCTGGAGCTTCTTCTGGGTCTCCCATGCAGGTGCAGGGGCCCAAGGACTTGGGCCTTCTTCTTCTTCTTCTTCTTATTTTTTTAAAAGAATTAGTTTATTTATTTGAAAGAGTTAGAGAGAGAGATAGAGCCAGAGAGAGAGAGGTCTTGCATCTGCTGGTTTACTCCCCAAATGATGGCAATAGCCAGAGCTGTGCTGATCCAAAGCCAAGAGCCAGGAGCTTCTTCCAGATCTCCCATGCAGGTACAGGGACCCAAGGAGTTGGGCCATCTTCTACTGCTTTCCAGGCCATAGCAGAGAGCTGACTCAGAAGAGTAGCAGATAGGACTTGAACCAGCACCCATATGGGATGCTGGAACTGTAGGCTGGGACTTTAACACTCTGCACCACAGTGCTGACCTCAGGCCATCTTCTACTGCTTTCCTAGGCCGTAGCAGAGAGCTGGGTCAGAAGTGGAGCAGCCAGGACTTGAACCATTGCCTATATGGGATGCTAGCGCTGCAGGTAGCAGCTTTACCCGCTACACCACAGCACTGGCCCTGAGGTATTTTCCATTGTTGGTTCACTCACCAAATTCCTGCAATAGCTGGGGCCGGGCCAGGCCAAATCCAAGAGCCAAGAACACCATCCAGATCTCCCATGTGGATGGTAGGAACCCAAGTACTTGGACCATCAACTGCTGCCTCCAGGGGTATGTATTAGCAAGAACCTGGATTCAAAGCAAAGGAGCTGGGGTGTGATCCCAGGTACTCCATCCAACATGGGATGTGGGTATCCCATGCAGTAGCTTAACCCACTGCACTACAGCCACCACCCCTTCCTTTATTTCAGTGAAAGAATTTAACCAGTTTTTAGGGAATTTTTCAAGAGTTCTTGTAATTTTTACTAGTCTTTAACAGTTGTTTAGTGTGTTGCTTTTATTCATCTTCTTGATAAATAGTTGATTTTGTCCTTAGTCCTTTATCCATTTCTTCATCAGATTTTGAGTTGCTGTTAAAAAAAAGTTGAGTGCAGCTAATGATTGGGCAATATATATTGTTCTCAGTTCTTTAGATACTACAATTGCTCTTCTGTTTGTAGGTGCTCACATTTTTTATTTATTTGAAAGGCAGAGTGACAGGGATATAGGGAGACAGAGAAATCTTCCATTCATTGGGTTACTCCTCAAATGGCTGCCCTGTCTCCCATATGGGTGACAGGGACCCAAGCACTTGGGCCATCTTTTCTTGGCCTTCCAGGGACATTAGCAGGGAGCTGGGTCAGAAGTAGAGCAGCTGGGACTCGAAGCAGCACTCTGATAGGGGATTCCAGTGTCACAGGTTGCATCTTAACCCACTGCACCACAGTATGGGCTCAAGTGCTTGTTGATTCTTACCAGCTATCTGATTCTCACTTCAATGATTTTTTAAAATCTTTTTTCGTATCTATCTTCCATAACAAACTGTGAGAAGTTCTTTGAGCAAGCTTTGTTCGTATTCACTTGTATAATTCATTGGCAGATATATTTGTGAAAGTAATGAATGTAAGTTCATTGAGCTTATGAAGAGCTGGGTGATCAAATAATATCTAGTTGAAAGTTGTTAACTCTTAAGGAGAGAAGATAGTGGAATAAAAAAACAATTGATACCAAATGTGATTGAACCTGAGGGATGGTTCAGAGTTACCCGTGGGGGCTAGGGGAAGAACTCCACAGCAGAGGGAACAGAAGCATGTGAAATAAAGTTTGCTGGGGAAACAGCAAGGAGTTCAGATTGAATGGAACCCAGCATATGAGGAGGTAAATGTAGGAAGAGCCTTATGAAGGATTTTGTGCTTAGGAGTTTTAAAAAGTAAGCTAACATTCCTGATACTTGCGCATCAGAAAATCATTCAAGAGGTTCTGTATATGGGATAAAGTGATAGAGGGGAAGATTACAGTTAGGGAGACCTGTTAGGAAATTCTCATAATAGTAGAGTGGAAAACATTGAAGATCTAGGGGCTGGCATTGTGGTGTAGCTGGTAAAGTCCCTGTCTGCAACACTGGCATCCTGCATGGGAGCCAGTTCATGTCCTTGCTGTTCTACTTCCAATCCAACTCCCTGCTAATGGCCTGGGAAAAACAATGGAAGATAGCGCAAGTGCTTGGATTCCTGCCACCAGTGTGGGAGATCCAGAAGAATGCCTGGCTCTGCCCTGGCCATTGTGGCTACTTGGGGAATGAATCAGCGAATGGAAGGCCTTTCTCTCTCTCTTTCCCTCTCTCTGTAACTCTGACTTTCAAATAAATAAATAAATCTTTTAAAAAAGTTGAAGATCTAAATGGGCCACCAATGAGAATAAGGGGGGGGGGGGGATAAAGGAAAAGTTTGATGTTTGAGAGCTTAGCATTAGTAGATGTGTGAGTTGGAAGACAGAGGAGGGAGACAGGAGGCCTCTCATTTCTGACTGGGTGTTTGGGTGGATGGAGGTGCTATTCACACAAGCGGGGAAGCAGGTTGGGCAGTGAGGAGGATGAACCCAGTGTTAGATTAAATCTGAAGAGTCTGCATCATCTGGTGGGCCACAATTCTGAAAGCAAGTGGATCCTATGGATCTGGAGCTCAGTTGGCTTTTTGTGTTTGTCCTTAGAAAGTACTAACTCTAAGGTATAACTCTTAGGTTATAGTAGAAATTCCTTAGGGCTCTACCTCATAATCTACTTTTTGATGAAATTCACTTTGAGAGTTTTAATTGTAGTCATTATATAGATGACATGCAACCTATTCTCTTACACATTTTTTAATTTCCTTAGTCTTACTCCCAGTATCATTGTCTTTAGACTATTTCTAAGTTTTTGATTCATTTTAATGAAACATAGCGCTTCTTTTCCTGTCTAAAAATGTTCCTCTCTTCACAATCTCTCTATAAAATTACTTATGTATCAGTTTCCCGAGAAAAAAATTTGTGGATCTTTCAATTCATGTTTCTGTTTTGTGTCTTCTTCCTTGATTTTTCTTTCTTATTTAGTACTCACTTTATTTATACATGCTGAGTTTTCCCTGTCTTTGTAATTTTAAGTTACTGTGTATAAAAACAAATTAGTAAGCTATTTTATAGCCATGTAACTTAAATAATTACCATATTCTAAATTTTCTTTGCATCATTTATAACATCTCTCACGTTTATCTATATTCCTGTCACATTATCCAGATATTTGGGTTGAAGCTTCACCTTGAACTTCTGTAATGGCTTTTAGTATCTCTTTCCTTTCTGTGTGTTTCATATTGCTGCAGTCTTTTGTAAATATTGCTTGTAATCAAATTACTGAAGTTACAGAAATTCTCTGAAGTGTGTAACTTGAAAGGAGTAAGAGTGAAGACAAAAAGACTATTTGAAGTCTTAAAACCAAACATGTTATAGTCAGACATTTGTGTCTAATATCCTAAAGCTGTGTTTAATCTTACTTACTTATTTAATCTTATTACTGCAAGTTAGCTTTTGGCTGCCAATTAAGTTAATCTCCTGGTTTGTCTTTTCTCATCAGGATTATTAGGCACTTTGAATTGTAAACAGGCTTTAATTAGATGGAATTGATTGTCCTCATATCTATCCTAATAAAGAGCTCGGCAGTAAACCTCACATACTAGTATATATGTATAAAGAAAAGTGTTACCTGGAATCAATCATCCTTTCAGATCATTCCAAAAATATCTATTTAGAGTTTACTTACATATTTTGGGTTAATGTAATATAAACCATTTGCAAATACTGGTTTCTAGATATCAGTGACTTATTTCTCCTTAAATCTCAGGTGACATATAGAAAGATGCTTTACTAAATGTTTATAATTTTTAAGTAATTGAATCAAAAGCACAGGACCACTATGAATTATATCTAGGGATGTAGTAACATCTTTTTAAATGGGTTTTTTATTAACAGATGTAAAATGTGCTCATTGTGCAGTGGAGGGTGGCCCAGGTGCTTGGGCCCTGCACCCGCATAGAAGACCAGGAAAAGCACCTGGCTCCTGGCTTCAGACTGGCGTGGTGCGCCGGCCGCGGCGGCCCTTGCGGGGTGAAACAATGGAAAAAAGGAAGACCTTTCTCTCTCTCTCTCACTGTCCACTCTGCCCGTCAAAAAAAAAAAAAAAAAAGTGCTCGTTATTTTTTAAAAGTTTTTTTTTTGTTTTTGTTTTTTGTTTTTTTTTGTTTTTTTTGACGGGCAGAGTGGACAGTGAGAGAGAGAGAGAAAGGTCTTCCTTTAGCCGTTGGTTCACCCCGCAATGGCTGCCACGGGTGGCGCATTGCACTGATCCGAAGCCAGGAGCCAGGTGCTTCTCCTGGTCTCCCATGCGGGTGCAGGGCTCCAGCACTTGGGCCATCCTCCACTGCACTCCTTTCACTTGTAGATTATTTCACAGCTGTTAGTTTCTAAGTATTTTGAACTATTTTAAAATTTTCCAGGTAATCTGTTGCTGATTTCTAGTTAGTTCTGACCAGGAAACATATTTTGTATACTTTCAGTTTTTTGAAATTGATGTGTCCTGTGTTGTAGTATAGCGGGACTTGCCATGCTTGCATCCCATATTAGAGAGCTTTAAGTCCTGGCTGCTCTGCTTCCAGTCCAGCAACTTGCTAATGCACTCGGGAAGGCAATGGATGATGGGCCTAGTCCTTGGGCTCCTGCCATTCATGTGGGAGAGAGACCAGGATGGAGTTTCTGGCCCAGCCTCAGCTATTGGGGACATTTGGGGAGTGAACCAGGAGATGGAAGATTTGTCTCTCCTTCTCTATCTTTCTCTATCATTCTGACTTTTGAATAAATATATAAACCTTTAAAAAATATTGCTTGAAACTTGTTTTATGGCCCATATTACACTCTGTCTTCATAAATAGATGTGTGTTCAAAGTGAAAGGCTGTCTCTGCCATTGTTGGCCATGGTGTTGTATAAATACTAATGAGGTGGAATTGGTCAGGAGTGTTGTTTGTTTTCTATATCCTTTTACTAAGCTATTCAGTTGTAGTTAAGGAGGAATAACAAAAATTAAAGTTACAACTATACATGTGGATTTTTCTGTTTCTCCTTTCAGTTTTATCTGTTTTATCTCCAGATATTTGAGACCTTGTTTTCAGTTGCATATATGTTTATTTGAAAGCTTTTATTTAATAAATATAAATTTCATGGGTACAGCTTTTGGAATATAGCAGTTCTTTCCCCCATACCCACTCTCCCACTCCCACTCCCGTCCCACCTCCTGCTCCCTCTCCCAATCTCATTCTCCATTAAGATTCATTTTTAATTATCTTTATATACAGTAGCCGGCGCCGCGGCTCACTTGGCTAATCCTCTGCCTGCAGCACTGGCACCCTGGGTTCTAGTCCCAGTCAGGGCGCCGGATTCTGTCCCAGTTGCCCCTCTTCTAGTCCAGCTCTCTGCTGTGGCCCGGGAGTACAGTAGAGGATGGCCCAAGTACTTGGGCTCTGCACCCACATGGGAGACCAGGAGAAGCACCTGGCTCCTGGCTTTGGATCAGCGCGGTGCCCCGGCCATAGCGCGCTGGCCGCGGCGGCCATTGCAGGGTGAACCAACTGTAAAAGGAAGACCTTTCTCCCTCTCTCTATCACTGTCCACTCTGCCTGTCAAAAAAAAAAAATGCCTTTAGGGCTGATTCTGAAGCCCAAGTAGTTGCATATATGTGTTTTATGATTATGTCTTCTAATAAATTGATACC